AGCTTCTCAGTGCTGCGCTTTAACCCGCTGTGCCACCAGGGAGGGCCCTGACTCCTAACTTTTAATGACTGGTGCTCGTTAAGCAACACGTACCCACTGTTTGTTGTGAGTATTTACAGATAGATGTAATTAGTTGGGTTTGTGTCTCCATGTGTGTCCTGTGCTTCCGCATCTAGAAAAACCCTGTCAGCCGCTTTACTGGATACACTTTTGGAGACAGTGCAGAGACAAATGTATAGGTAAGGGGACAGAGTGCCTAAAAAGCTCATTGCACTGTAACAGAGAACAGCGCACCGCACCAATCACATGCATACAGCTTGTGTTTTTACAAAGTGTACACACACCATGAAACGAACATTAGACCATGACCTGGATCCAGAAGTCTCTTCTAGTCACTCCTCCCTTCCAAGATGACCTCTGTCCTGGCTGCGCATAGCATCAGTACAACCTTTTATGTGCTCTATTTATGTTGAGCTTTTTTTTTGCTCAAAATTGAATTTGCGAGGTATACCTGTGACATCTAGATCGTGAATTGTGTAGTTGCGATGTCAGGTTGCTCATTGTCATTGCTGTATCATACTGCACTGTGTGACTACCACAGTTTATACATTCTACCACTGATGAGCAGTAGAGATGTATCCAATTATGACATAAGACAATGTTGTTACAAACATTTTTGTGTGTGTGGTTTGGTAAGTTTGTACATGCACCTGTCAGGTATATACCTAACAGTGGAATGCTGGAACAATAAAAATTTTGTTTGTGTATATCTTATTTTTTGAAAAATTATTTTTATTTATTTATGCATTGAAAAATGGATGTAGGCCAGAGGTGTGGGGGTGAGAGGATTCACCAGAGACAGAGTGGGGAGCAGAACAGGCCAATCCATGAAACCCACTGCTGAGGGAGCAGCGGGGGAGACAGGTGAGGTCTGCTGCACCCTAGGGTTACTCCCTGGACAGGAATCAGCTCAGGCCACAGTGGCTGGCAATAGCTCGATAGTGCTGAAACTTTAACCCTGTGCCACCCGGGGAGGGTGGGAGCTTTGTGTGTGTATTTTAAATTGCCTGTGTGTCCTGATGGAAATGGTCAGTAGATGTTGAAAAACTGATGCAAAAGAAAGTGGTAACAACCACTATGGAAAGCTGTGTGGAGGTTCCTCAGGCTACAAAAATGGAGCTACCTTATGACCCAGCAACTCTACTCCGAGAAATCCACTCAAAGGACACCTGCACCCCCATGTCTACTGCAGCACTGTTTGCGATACTCAAGACACGGAAACAACCCAAATGACCAAAAATGGACGACTGGATCAAGAAGATGTGCTATCTATACTCCATGAAATACTATTTAGCGATCAGAAAAGATAAACTCATGTCACAGCAGCATGGATAGCACTGGAAGGGAGCAGGCATAGTGAAATAAGTTAGGAAGAAAACGAAAAAGATCAGATGGCTTCGCTTACAGGAGGAATATAGGGGAACCAAATAAGGGATCTGCAAAAAAAAAAAAAAAAAAATGAGCAGGCAACTGTGAATCAGAGACACTCCGAGGCCGCGGGAAGAGGCAGCACAGCTGGAGGGGACGACACAAGGGACGATGGTGATGGTACAGGGTGAATTGATGGTGGGAATTTTACAGGGGACTATGTGCCTGAGAGGAGAAAGCATGCATTGTTCAAAAACAAGCAATGATTATAAAACACCTATAAATAAGCATGTTACAGAAATGTTTTAAAAAGAACAGAAAATGGTAACTGAAGGAGTAAGTTCTTTGGCTTTTGACTGTCACATCAGTGAGTATCTTCCTACGGAAACTGAGCAGGTACTGGGCAGAGTAAGTAAATGTATTCGCAGGCAACTGGTTTAGAAGGAGCCTTTTGTATCAGAAACAGGAAGGAACCATGTCTGGGGGCTGGGTCCTCCTGGTGGGCAGAGCACCGGCTGCCCTGGGGAGAGCGAGGGGACTATGGCGTCTGCTGCCAAGAGAGGGAGGGAGTGAATGCGGGGCCCTCGGCAGAGTCTTGAGAAGTCCTGTGGGTGTTGCTGCTACTCAGGTAGTCAGCGCGGAGAATCACACGACTGTGCTTTCCCCCTAGTCTGTCACCTTTAAAACGACCAGCAGGAATCTGGCCCGAGCCATGTGTATGAAGAATCTCAAGCTCACTGTCATCATCATCATCGTATCAATCGTAAGTTTCTGCCCTTTGTGACGGCACGCGGTTTACCTCTCAGGGTCTAGGCAGCGAGGAGCCAGCCGCCGCCCCGTGCGCCGTCTGCCGAGCACGCACGCATTGCCGTCTGCACCGAAACCCTCTCCCGAGTGGCGTCTCACTTTCTAGGGCATTCCATTCCCTGGTTCTGTTTTCTTGGTTCCCGTGGTCTGTTTTGTGTCTGTGAGCCACAAAGCCCTGATGGCACATTCTTCTCTGTGGGACAGGTCAGCAGTCAGCAGGCAGGGACTGTCTTAGACTTCGTGGGCCATGTGTAGTGTCGGTCACACCCCTGTTTAAACAACTTTGAAACTGCAGCAGCATAGAACATGGGCCGTGGGCTGCTGTTTGCTGTGGGTGAATGATGAGACTGGCTGGGAATTGTAGCCTTTAGGCCGGTAAGGAAATTATGCATAACACAGTTGCTGTGAATAATTGAGTATCACTTTCTTGCATTTGATAACTGTTGGATACTTGGGCCGCCATGGGTTTCTTCAGTTAATACTTCGTTTTATTTGGAATGCTCCTTTGGTATTTATCAGAGTGGTATTTACTATGAATTCTTACTAGATTTCTATTTTCAAGTTAAGAATTTCAGCTTCAGGCCTACACTGCTCCACATTTTTGGTTAGGAATAGGCATTTAATCTTAGGAATTTATACCACTACCCAGTGAATTGACGGCTGTTACATTTAATGTTAGTGCGTTGAATTACATTACTAAATACACTTGTAACTCAGTTGGGACACATACCAACAGGTGGTAATACATGGTGAGTTCAGTATTGGGCTGTTCTGTTGTCTGTAGTTTACTTGTGTTTTCCTTTTGGAATCTGCACAAGAGCCTTTTTAACTGTCCAGCATGTCTAGTAGCCTTTTAAAATTTCTTTTGCATGCAGAGCAGTGTGGAACAATAGACTCATTGTTCCAGGAAACAAATTTTCAGCTTTGTTTATTCTACTGCAAGCACTTCTCTGTGTGTAAAAATACATACATATATTTCAACCATATTTTAAATTTCTAAGAACTCACTATTCTTAGTATAACCTGATTTTCATGGATTTGTGGTTGCTAACAGATGTCTCCTTTGAGTTTTCTGGGTCCAGAGAGTTAGTTTACATGATGGCAGCTGCTGCTGGGCACCTCTCAAGCCCATGGGAGGGGCAGTCTGGACCCTGAGGCCGGAGCAAACGTAACCACAGGCCAAGTTTGTTCTTCATCTAGGAAACCTCAGCTCTGTTCTTAAAGGCCTTCAGCTGATTGTGGAGTCAGCTGCCTACAGATCAAGTAGGATAATGTGCCTTAAAGTGAGCTGATTGTATGCTTTACTCACATCTTCAAAACAGATTAGCTTTGGGCCGACACTATCACTGCAGCCACGCATAAAACTGACTTCACAGAAGTCGTTGTTTATTTTTATATGTATGGGTTTATTGTCACTGGAAGTACATTATACTGCCTTTTTTAAAATTTCATTTCCAGTATGGTTAGTGTTGACAGTCAGAAGCCCCATAAGCAAGGTCTCTTTGGAATCTTAGCTAATTTTCAAGAGGAAAGAGATCCTGAACCAAAAGCCTGAGGGCTGCTGCCCGCAGGAGCAGGGAGGGCAGTGCTGTGCTCTGGGCCAGGCAGCCGCCCCTCCCCGCCCAGCCCGGGATGGCCCAGGGCCTTCCTAGCCGAGAAGTTCAGCCCGGTCTCCGAGTTCACAGCCCGACACTGTTCCTTTGCTCACACCCCGCGGGTGGGCGTGCGCCCTAGGCTCTAGCGCTGAGCTTTTCCTTCCATACATTGGCTGTGAAGCCGCATCGTAGTTGAATTCAGATTTTATGTTGATCTCTTTTTCAACACAGTATTGACTTGTCCGAAAGATAATGTGTTTCAGCTTAAAAGTGCTTAATAGTTCAGCTGTGGCAGATACTGCCTCTGTGTGTCCGTGTGCGCACGCGCACGCCTGTGCATGGACACAGGCACAAATATGGCAAAAATGTGTTGTGACCACCCCCCCCCCAATATGTGTTGGGAGAGAAGGCAACAAAATATGTTTCTGATTGGGGGGTGGGGGCATGGAATTATTTTTTCCTCAGTTATGTGAGTAATAAATGAGTCACTTAAAGATTTCAAAAAGTTTCAATGATGAAGTAAAGCGAACCTGGTATTTAAAATAAATCTATTTCTGGAATGTAATGTGAGCAAGCATATACTATTACAAATATAAAATTTCAGTACCACAATTAAATAACTCACTCATCTGTGGTAGAACAAATGTTTTCACAGTGGTATGACTTACATCAGCTTTGCTTGGCTTTGATAGTAATTGTCATTGTCGGCTAAAAATTTTGTAGCGGCATTCTTGCTTCTATGGAGTAAGCTCTCTACTCAGGCTTTTTAAATAGAATCTTCTCATCCTAATAATGAACAATCAATCCATGTGTAAAACCTGAAAATATCTCAAGGGGATGTTGGCAGTGTTTGATCTTTATGACCATTGCTGTTGTGCCTGCCAGTAGCAGCTGTTCTCTTCGCTGACTTCTGACCAGTGCCCGGTGAAGATAGCCTCTCTGCTGAATGCAGAGTAGAATTCAAGTACATGAGATATCGGAAAGGGTAATTTTAATTCTGCATCCTTGTTATACAACTGCTACTTTAATGGCACCTGTGTTTGTATTAAAAAGTCTCGGCTTTATGTATTTAGGAGCATATGATGGCTTCAAGAAAATAAAACTGCCTTCCCCCTTCCTCCAGGTGTTCATCTATATCATTGTGTCACCTCTCTGTGGTGGATTTACATGGCCAAGCTGTGTGAAGAAATAAACAAGAAAAAGTTATCATTAACCAAGGACATCAGAGAACAAGGAGTTCAAAGCAATCCATGTGACTCAAGCCTTTTAATACTGCCAGATGATATCTGTCAGTCTCAGCAACCCTCTTCTTTCTCTTTTGTTATCTTGTTCTAGGCCGCCAATTTCTCTCTGTCCTATCAACCAATCTATTCCAGTGCACTTCAGATTGAACCATTCATTGTAGTAGTTGCCTGAAAAAGGCATTTTGTCTTTCGATTTGTTGTTAGTGTCCTTTACTTCAGGAAACCTTTCTGTGGTCGCACACAACTACCACCAAGATAGAAGCCACCAGTCCTATGAGCTGTCTACTGACACGATAGAGGAAATTTATATGTGCGCACAAAAGTATTCAAGAGATAGCTAGTATTGCTAAAGCCTCATCTTAATGTCTTTTATTATTGAAGAGTCTTAGGTGCTTTAAAACAATGTAAATGTAGAACTGTAATAAACTGCTGGTGCTGCTTGCTTCTCGGAGCCCAGGCAGGTCGAGTATTGAACGTCTCTGGCAGACGGGGCACATTTTGCCGGCCCATTAGGAAGAGGCGCACAAGTTCTTTGTCCTCCCACTGTTCACTTTCAGGAATAAAGTTGTGACTTCTCCCCAGCTTCACATTGCTTGATATCCGTTTTTCCCGTTGCCGTGGAATTGAGCAGATGACAGCTTACATGTTGCTTAAGGTGGTTGTTTTTCTATTCATTTTGCTTCAGTGGCTACTTAGGGCAATCATATTGTTAATGGAATGAATAGTGGAGGGAGTGAGGAGGCGAATCCTCGGGCTCACCAAAGATAACGAAGAGAATCCCAGCAGATACGTGTTACTGTCATAACTGTATGCAGAACTGTGGTGTGGGGAATTTTCCCAGTCTTGGAAAATCCAAACTGGAATGTAGTCAAGCGTCAACTCTAGGGTTTGGGCTTGAGAACAATAGTTTGAGCATCCTTTGTGGTTTAAGAAGTTCTTTGGATCTGCCCAGTTTTGAAGAAACCTTTTATGTAACTTGAGGATGGACAGTTGAGCTGCGTGTAATCATGCTTCAGCTACTCCTAACACTCGCAAGTACGTACTTGGGGCACATTTCTAAAAGGAAGACATTTGCTGCCCGCGTCCAAATTGCATTTATTTATCAATAAGTGCCAGTAAATGGAAATCATCCTTCAGTTGACTATATTCCTAGTTAAAGAACAGTTTGCCTACGAAACCTACCCACCTGTTTTGCCTAGTCATGTGCCTTGAATATATCTGTGTCACATAATCTGGCCCTGCTACCTGGTTCATTTATTTGACACATTTCAGCCCCATTGGAACTCTCTTGCTGCCGATCATAGCACAAATGTCCCCCCCCCATCAACACTAATGCCTTTTAATTACATCAACATTTCCTACTGGAAAGATGCTTGTTCCCAGAAAACATTTGGCAGCCTGGAGTAGTGATTTCCAAATGTCTTTAATCCAAAGAAAATGACTTAAAAGATTATTTCCCTTTCTTATACACACCTGAATAAAATTGATGTGCATGTTTTAGGGATCAAGTACTTACCTGTCCCTTGGTATATTTATGTATAAGAATGCTTTTTAAAGCACATGTCTTGTTTTAAATGACTTAAAAATGAAAGCATTAATAAAATTTAAGAGTAATACAATGTGTCGCTTGTTTTAGAAGTTCTTCCTGGAATTTAATTTTTCCTGATGAATTTTACCATAGTTAACAGAACAACATGGTTACAGTTCACAACAAATATGAAAACACATTAAAAAGTCTTACATTTTCTGGGGCCCTCCCTGGTGGCGCAGCGGGTTAAAGCACAGCACTGAGAATCTAAAGCCGCTTCCACATGAGTTCGATTCCCGCCTGCCCCGGAGGTGACCACATGGTGTGGCAGACCTCTCCTGACCCACCCGCTGCTCCCCTCAGCAGTGTACTTCATCCATCTGCCTGTTCTGTTCCCCACTCTGTCTCTGGTGAAGCCTCTCACCGCCCCTGAGCCTCTGGCCTGTACCCCAGTTCTGTATGCACAAATAAATAAATCTTAAAAAAAAAAAAAAGTCTTACATTTTCAGAGGTATATAAAATTTCTTTAAAACCAAAAAAACTTTTTAAAAATGTAGTCTGCTTGTTGAGGTGGGTATACCAAGGGGACATGTGGAAAGGTACATGGAAGCCACAGTGTCACTAGGCCTGACAGTTTCCTGTCTCACAGCCTCAGTTGGTCAGCAGGACCAGTGGTGGACATGCAGTGCAGGAGATTGAGAAAAAACTGGGGTACACCAGGCATCTCAGCATCTCTGCTTTATAGCCCCCACCTTCGGAGATTTCCACTCCCCTTCTGCTTTTCAAGTCTCACAGGAGTTCATTTCACTGGCAAGAAAACTAACAATGCACAGGAAAAGGAATTTCTGTGGAATTTCCAGCTCCTGTCAAGAGCAGCGATAACACTCCACTGCCAGTTCTTCCTACATGTATTCGTAAGATCAGCTCACCTGCTTTATGATACAAAAATAGGCAATTTAGGTAAGTGAAAGCATTCTTTTGCCAGGGGTATTTTGATACAAAATTACTTGGTAGTCATTCTATTTACTAAACCAAAACATATCTAAGGTTGTGAGTTTACATCTGTCTTCCAAACAGCAGGAAAATCATAACAATACTGTATGAAACCACTCAAATGCATGAGCTGACACCTTGATTTACTTTTTTATTTAACTCCAAGTTTGGAACAGCGCCAAGAAAACTTTAAAAATGTCATGCAGGGAGACCCTATTTAATTCAAGAGCGCCCTTACGGACTTTAACTCCTGCCAAGATGAAATAACAGCACCTGTATGTACCCTCCTGCCTGACATAACTCCAGAAGGCTGAAGTATATGACATAAAAGTTTGTAAGACTTTGGACACCAAACAACACAGGACAGTGATGTGAGAGGTATACCCCAAAATTAACCCAGCTTATTTAATAAAAATCCTCAAAAATCATATCAAACCAAACCCAATAATGCATCACAAGTATTATACACATCATGAACAAGTGAGATTTATTCTAAGGACGCAAGGATGGCTTGATATCCACAAAGATCAATCACTGTAAATCACCACAACAAAAAATATTAAAATGCTCATATCGGGCCCTCCCTGGTGGCGCAGCGGGTTAAAGCACTGCACTGAGAAGCTAAAGCCACTTCCGCATGAGTTCGATTCCCGCCTGCCCCGGAGGTGACCATATGGTGTGGCAGACCTCTCCTGACCGCCCGCTGCTCCCCTCAGCAGTGTGCTTCATCGATCTGCCTGTTCTGCTCCCCACTCTGTCTCTGGTGAAGCCTCTCACCGCCCCTGAGCCTCTAGCCTGTACCCCGGTTCTGTATGTACAAATAAATAAATCTTTAAAAAAAAATGCTCATATCATATGATCATATCAATAGATGTGAAGAAAGCATTTCATAAGATTCAACATCCTTTATGATAAAAGCCCTCAAGAAACTGGGGATAGGTGGAACCCACCTAGCATAATAAAAGCTATTTTGACAGACCCACAGCTAACATCATTCTCGATGGTGGAAAATGTAAAACCTTTTTTTTTTCCCTCTAGGATCTGTCCCAAGACAAGTATGCTCACTTTCACTGTTATTCACCATAATAATGGAAGTCTTCACTAAGACATTTTAGTGAGAAATAGATAAAAGGAGTCAATTGGGAAGAAGTAAAACTATCACTATTTGCAGATGATAGAAAATCCTACAGATTCCACTAAAAATACAAACAAAACCCAGAATTGGCAGGCTACAATAATCAAGTCACAAAGCTAGTTGCCTACCTATATGCAAACAATGAGCTAGAAGAGAAAAACAAAATTACATCAAAAAGAAGCACCTAAGAAGAAATTTAACAAAGGAGGTGAAGGATCTGTGCAATGAAAACTATTAAGACATTGTTAAAAGAAATAGAAGACAAAGAAATGGAAAGATATTCTATGCTCATGAACTGAAGGATTATCACGGATAAGTCATTTACCCAAAGCAATAGACCACTTCAATGCAAAACCTATCAACGTTTAAATAGCATTCTTCAAAGAAATAGAGCAAACCGTACTGAAATTCATATGGAACCACAAAGAAACCCAAATATGCAAAGTAATCCTGATAGGAACAGTATCCTCACAGTTCCAGACTTCAAGCTACACTTCAAAGCTGTGATAGTCAAAACAGTTACTGGAACAAAAACAGATACCCATGGAATCAAATTGAAACCCCCAAGAATAAACCAACACACTTGGCTTTTCAGGCATTCTCCATTTCTCCTTCAGTGTGGGAGGACATTAACTATCATAACTTCCAGTGCTGTCGGAGACTTTGTCCCCGATCACGGATTATTGGGGGGCAGAACAGGCAGGGTCTCAAGGTGGGAATGGCGTTGGCGAGCAGAGATTCCTAGAAAAAGGGAAAAAAAGGGGAGCGGGCGCGAGGAAGACACGGGAATGGGAGTTGGGTGCGAGTCTTCCTGCTCTGCCTTCAGCAGAGGTTTATTTTATACACTTCAGGCAGGCAGAGGGGTGACATTAGCATATGAAATGGGCTGAGATCACAATCACCTTTTTGCTAAGAATAGTCTGGGGTCGTTTTGAGCTTTAGTTGAGATTATAACATTTTTTAAATCAATCTATCAAGGTTAAGACAAGTACATAGATTCACCAAGTTTAAGACTAGTATTACTATATTTACCACAGTGAAGACTGACCAAAATAAAGTCCCTGAATCCTGATTAGCTCTGCATAGGCGATTTGGGTGAATTTCCATATCCAAAGACTAGATAGTAGAAAGCTTGAGTGGTTATTTAGAAACTGAATAGAAGGCTGAGTGAGATAGAGTGATAAGATTTGGGTTTTCCTCTGTCTGGCAGTGAGAGACTTTGCAGTAACAGCCATTTATCTTTATTAATCAGCCAGTTGTTTAATGACTTGACTTCCAGAGGAATTTCTCACCCTGGTGCAGTACTTGCTTGTCAGGGCCGGGTAACGCCTTCTGAGGCTGAGGCAGTCCAATTGTAAGCTGAAGGTTGCTCAGAATATTTTGACATTACGATTATACAAAAAAGGGAGGTCATAACATAAGTTAGCGTGGAAAGTCTGATTTTTCAGAGCATTTCCCCTCCACCCATACAGTGTCTTTCGAGAGAGGTTGCATAGCTTGTGTCACAGTGCTTTGTCAAAACCTCAGGAGAGAGGCCTCTGGCCACACATCTGTCATTTCCAATTATATCATGTGGGGTTGCAGCTTTCTATGAATTTGCTGTGGCTGAATCAAGAAAGAACGGACTCAGAACTATACAGGAATTATAGTTTCATGAAAGATGTTGAGGAGATGAGGAAGACTCAGAGAGTGAAATAATCTTAAAACACAGGATTTCTTTGACTTGACTAAATGGATTACACTTGGCTGTAAGACCTGAAACCTGAAATACACAGAAGAAAACTTAAGTGAAACACTCCATGAAATTGGCCTCAGTGATGTCTTTGTGGATTAGTCTCCAACAGCGTGAGAAACAAAAGAATATAAGCCAATGTGACTACATCACATTTAAAAGCTGCATAATGAGAAGTGCATAATGATAAGGTATTATGAAAGCAAAGATGCCTGAGCAATGGGAGTGTGTGATTGCACACGGCACATCTAATGAGGAGCTCTCACAGTGGTCAATAAATAGAAAATAACCCTATCAAAAATTGGCAAATGCAGGGAAAGGACACTTCTCCAAGAAAACAGATGCCAACAGGCACATTAAAAAAAAAAAAGAGCATCGCCTGTCATCAGGGAAATGCAGGTCAAAACCACCATAAGAAAACAACACCTGTGAGAATGGCCCAGCTCAAAAAGAGCAGAAATAGCAAGTGTTGGCGAGGATGTGGAGGAAAAGGAACACCCATACACTGTTGGTGGGTGTGTAGACTGGTCCAGCCCCTACTCATAACAGCATATTAAAAATAGATCCACTCTGGGCCCTCCCTGGTGGTGCAGTGGGTTAAAGCACAGCACTAAGAAGCTAAAGCCACTTGTGCATGAGTTTGATTACCGCCCCGGAGGTGACCACATGGCCAGCAGACCTCTCCTGACCCGCCCGCTGCTCCCCTCAGCAGTGGGCTTCATCCATCTACCTGTTCTGCTCCCCGCTCTGTCTCTGGTGAAGCCTCTCGCCACCCCTGCACCTCTGGCCTATACCCCAGTTCTGTATGCACAAATAAAATCTTTTAAAAAATAAATATGTATTGTGTATACACACACACAAAGTAGAATACTACTCAGCAATCAAAAAAGATAAACTCATGCCATCTTCAGCAACATGGATGGGGCTGGAGGGGACTATGCTAAGTGAAGTCAGACTGAGAAAGACAAGTACCAGATAGTGTAATGTGTATGTATATGGAATGTAGAGAAACCAGACAAGGGGTCAGTTAAATCCAAACAACTAAAACCTAACCCTTGAAAGCAGACTACAGAACAAAGGAATTCAAGGGGGGAGTAGGGGGACAGCACAAATTGGGGAGGGAGCACAGTGGACCTGGTGATGGACTGTGGGTGCTTCCGTAGTGGCATCTCCTGGGTAACAGCTGCGAAAAGGGGGGGGCAAGGAAGGGCCCTCTGCTTTCACAATGCAAGGCAAACCAAAGTTTCCTTGATTTAAAAGGTAGATCTGTATGTAATAAACTCAAGAGAAAACTTGGGAAAGCGGGAACGTCTTGCAAGCACTTGGCCCTCCGTGC